GCTATTATTTCTCATAAATTTAAGTAAAGTCACTGGGCATGAGAAATCAACTTCCTTCTTTCCTATTCCAATTTTCCATTACTCATGAGGTCTTGCTATGTGTGTCTCATAAAGAGGTCACCGCACTTAGTTTCTGTTCTCCCTTACTTAAGGTTTTTGTTCTTATTCATTTGAAAAATAGAGTTAATTTTGTTCTAACCATAACTAATTTTGTTCTAACCATAATTAACCATAGTTAATTTTGTTCTAACCATCTCATTGCTGAAAAGATGAAAAATAAGAAAATATTTATTATCCAGAGATAACCATTATTAACGTTTCTCATGTATTCATAGTTATTTTTAAAACAAATTTTATTATAGCAGTTCATTGCAATGGACTGCAGAGATTTCAGTCTTTGATTTATGCATATTTATTTTCATACCACTGACATTACTACATTAGATTGGCCCCCTTTTTAAGTTATTTTACAATATGGTGATCATCTACTTTGTCTTCCCTTTTAAAGTTAACTTTGGAGTTTGTGATGTTTTTTTCCAGTGTTTCTAGAGTCTCACATTTCTTTGTACTATGTCTTAGTACAATTTTTATGTCCATAATACCTCCCAGTTTGTCTCACTACATTGCTATTCCTGAATGAATATGGAAAGGTCAGTATGTTGCCATCTGTACTTTGCTCATTTCTCCTTATCACACCCTCTCATGCCCACACACCTCCCACCTTTGTACCATCACATATGTATTTGCTAACACTTATTTGAATTCCCACAACACTTGCCATGTTCCTTTCTTGCAAGTCTCCTGGCACCTCTTTCTTCAACTGGTTTGCCCTCTCCTGTCGGCATCATGCTCCAATTCAGTGCTCCCTCTTCCATTCGAGAGAATGAGTCATCTCACCTCCAACCTCTCTCTCTTGGCCTCAGTCCTCTGTCCTATTGAAATACACGGCCAGGCTGCACACATGTCCCCGCTCTGTGTAGCGCACCCCACAGAAACACTTCATTCAAATGCACATGATTTTTTTTTTCTGAAACCAGGCCAGTTGCTCAGTGTTCACCATTATAGGCAGATACTTGATGCAAAAGAAAAAAGGAAAAAGACAATGGAAAACAATGACAGGAGCAACCAGCCAATCAGTATAATGTCCCTTCTCTCTGTGTACAATCAGCTCCAGCTGTAGGCCCTTTATCTTGAGAGTTCAGAGGATAATGCACACATATAATTACCCCAAATAAACCCACTTTCGTGAAAAACATTTTGAAGACTTCAGCACAAAAGAGTACTTTTGGGTCCAGATCCTATACTATTCTGAATTTTTAAAAAGACCACACAGAAGCCTCATCAACAGTTCTCTAATTAAACTCATCAGTTCACAGATGTTTACAGGAAAATGCTCAGCGAAAATTTTCACCAAGAATTCCTGTTTCCTGAGAAGAGAGATGGATGATGACAATAGTAATAGTAACAAGAGCTCACATTAATAAGTAGTAAGCCTGCCACTTTACATAGGTCAATAAATTTAAATCAGTAACCCTTTTGAGGCAGTGATTATTCTCATACCTATTTTACAGAAGCCAAAACTGAGGCTAAGTAGGTTAAATAAGTTTCCCAAAGTCACACAGCTAGGTAGTGCCAGGAACAGGATGAGTCCTGGTTTGCATGACTCAAAAGCATGTGCTCTTAATCACTACATATTGTTGCCACCACCTCTTCCATGACGAAAATCAGTGTAAATTTTCCAACATTTCATAGTCACCAAACAAAAACTGACTGAACTATCACTATTTTAAATTACCAATATTTTCCCCAATATCCTCTCTTTCCTCACTCCTCACCTCCAACTTTTCCTCAACTTCTGTTTTCTGCTCTAAAGATTTTCCTGGTGGTCTGAGAGTCTGTTAAGGCAGTCATTCTCAGAAAACACACTTAAAGATAACATCTTCTAGACTGTTTCAAGGCCCAAGTTAAAAATGGAAAAAGTGGGCTTCCCTGGTGGCGCAGTGGTTGAGAGTCCGCCTGCCGATGCAGGGAACGCGGGTTCATGCCCCGGTCTGGGAGGATCCCACATGCCGCGGAGCGGTTGGGCCCGTGAGCCATGGCCGCTGGGCCTGCGCATCCGGAGCCTGTGCTCCGCAACGGGAGAGGCCGCAGCAGTGAGAGGCCCGCGTACCGCAAAAAAAAAAAAAAAAGTGATTAATCAAATATACAAGAAGGTTTTGAAGAAACATATATATATCAAACTACTTTCCATTTTACTTATTTATTTTTTGACTTTGTCAGTGTATTTGGCTGATGCAATATATTGTCACCACTGGATTAAGCGAGAAGGGTAATGATTACTCAGGCTTTTATAACACTTAGGAATTCACATTACTTCTATATGTAAACTTGGAAAGAGACTCTTCTCCTAAAGGAAGAAAGAATAGGTGATGTGAGCCCTAGGTTTCAATGAACCAACACTCAAGGGCCGTCTCATTTTCATCTTTTCAGGAGGACGGTGATCCAACTGATGGCTTTGCCACTTGGGGTCTGTGTGACCTATTTGTTGCAAGTTAACCGCTTCAAATGTCAGTTTTTCTCACCGGTAAAATGGGCCTAATTATTCATGTCTACCTCGTGGAGCTATAACCAGGACCAATTATATGACATGGCAAAATATATACATAGTACTTCCAAGATATGTGACATATAGGTGTTAAATAAATGTTAGCTCTTATTATTATTACTGTCATTTTTGTTATTTCTCTGTCTGTAACTAAAGGCTGCCATCATCAACTGTGTTCCCCATGCCTGTAGTCCCTCTACATTCCCACTCTTTATGGGTCTATCTTTCTATCCATTCATTCCATAAACACCTATGTTCTATTAGAATATGAGTCTCATGGGAGCAGGGGCTGTGTCCATCTGGAGGAAGCACTATAGATGAGTGGTTAAGAGCATGGTCCCTGGAGCCAAACTGCTTGGCTTTGAATTCTGCCTCTACTACAATTTGATCAATGACTTTGGGCAAGTTTCTTAACCTCTTGGAGGCATGCTATTCTCATCTGTAAAATGAAAGTGATTATGATAGCCAGCACATAGGTTATTGTGGGGCTTTATCATGTTAATATACGTAAAATAATTTAGAGTAGTGCCTAACATGTAATAAGGCTATATGTGTCTGCTATGATTATGATTATCATTCTTATTTTTTATCACTATATCTCTAGCATGTAGAACAGTGACTGACACATAATAGGTATGCAGTAAATATTTGATCAATGAATAAACAAGTGCTAGACACTGGAAACACAAAAGATTTACAAGAATGTCACTTGTCTCGAAGAGAACTGTAGGAACCGGTAGAGAGGCTTATAGCTTACTGGAGAGCTCATGGTCAGCAGTCAGGTTCAGTTCCCTCCTGTTCCAGGGTCCCTAACCTGGGCTACACCACCAAGGATTAACTGACACATGGAATTTATATAGCAACGTGAAGCAAAAATAAAAAGCAATGCTACGAGGTATTAAATGACTAAAGTGCTGATTAGATAGTACAGAGAATACGTAGGAATCTAATCTATTTTATTTATTTACATTTATATTACATTTATTTGAATTCCAC